TCTGACTTTTGTACCTAAACAATATTCTTAAAGGCGATAATATGATGATGAGGTTAAAGCAACATGTTTCGTTGTTTACAATCACTTTACAGAATGTGAAAATTGTTCCTGAGACCGGAGATATGTGAATTCTTTGATGACGCCTTCGAAAAAGTGATCATAAATTGGTCATTTACGTTAGCACGTTGGGCGACTTTGCCTTGAAATATGAAGAATTCAACACGTTTCCACTCGGTCCCAAGCATAGAGGCGACGGTCTCTTCATCCCGAATCTACACACATCGCCGTACATACAGGCGGTTCCGGAAATCCAAGTGCATACGCTGACGGATGCCGATCAATTTCTCATTTTGGGTACAAATACGTGAATATATTATACATATTACAGTATGATTGATATGTATACATGATATATACATCATTGTAGTGTACATACTGTTAACAAATGTACCTGATACGAAGTCGCGCAATTATGAGTCGTGAAAGTATATACTAGTATTGACAATGGACCGGTGTATACGTTTAGGAAGCACTGGGCTATGGGGTGAATTGTCCAACGAAGAAGTACGACAACAATATGTTTATATACTTTAAAAACCATGGCATTAAAATGTTATTCGTAGGCGGTGGAAATTGTCGCTAGTTATACATCTCGTGGCGACTTCCGAGCCGCCCAAGCATTGGTGAACCGTGTGATCGCGAAGGAAGTCGAAAAAAGAAAGTACGTTGTAGTACTGATTGTTTCCCTACAATATTAGTATTATTTTCCCTTTCTCGATTTGACTATCGAAAACTCCACTTTTGGGTTGAGTAGAGACTCTATCTACTATCATTGCTTAAAATCTGATGTAGCATATTATTCTAAACAAAGTATTCCTTCCTTGTATCGTGTGATAACTTTACAACTAAACCAATGCTAGTTTCACTTGGGCCGACGTTGCCAACTTGGTACCACGATTGCGGGGAGTTGTCCACGGCGATACAACCGTCGTGGTACTATTTTTCAAGTCGTGATCAACAAATGTGCCCCAAGAACAACTACATAATCGAGCACTAATTCCATGTAAAGTCTGTATATACATACTGTTTAAAGGACGGAGAACAGTAGAGGGGAAAGAGGCGTGGTGGAGAGGTGACGAGAATAGGGAAAGGGCAACATGGGTAGAACCGAAAGGAATATGCCAGATATAATGTGGATGAGAAGACTCGGGTAGAAGAAGAAGGCCGAGGCGGTCCTAGTGGACCATGCCACTTAAGTGGCTCAAGCTTGAGGAGATGATAAATGTAGAAGTGAGGATGCTGAAAAATGCCAAAGTGAATGCTTATGATTGGTGGAAAATGGTAATCGAGGCAGGCAAATTGCGTATCGTGACATACAAGTACCTCAATGGAATACGAGGGTCAAAAGTGCAAACTGCCTACCCAAGACGAGATGCTAAAGATTGTTAAGGTAATGCATCAATTAATGACATTGTTTTTGGTCAAGTTTGGCAATGACTTTTCGTATCCTGTTTTAAATGTTACTAGTACTGCACTTGATTAACGTATACTAGTACTTACGTAACTTATACTTACGTGCACATATACCGGTACTACAGTACTACAGTATGTACTGACTGTGAATACTACCTACACCTTTTCCCGATCAAACTGGCAGTTTGTTCCAATCAAAGTGGCCATATAAAATATAGAACGTTTGAAACAAATACAATTGATAGAAAAAACATACAATATTCCATTCAAAGTGGTATTTGTTCCATTCAATGTGGCACAAATCAATTCCCATACTGCATGTTTTCCAAGTTCAGTGCCTTCTCAATATTGCGCAGGCAAAACATCGCTTCGCGGATCACCAAGGATTGAGTAATGCGTGGGAGGCATTCAGTGGCAGCTTCTTCAAGCAATCGCATACGACTTTCCAAGTAGGAATTAAAGTCCCTACGGTCAAAAAGCAAATTGGTGCGTTCCGCGAGATAGCCCTTAATCTTCGCCTTCAAAACGCTAAAGCAACTTTCGATAGGATTTAGCATTGGCGAATATGGCCCTAGGCGAAGCAGAACCAAGTCGTCGTGCGAAGCAACCCATTGCTCCGTCTGCGAATGGGCCGGGGCGTTGTCCAACACAATCACCACCTTCTTGCCGACAAAACTGGCCGTGTAGGCCTCCGACGCTTTTGCCGCTCGGTAAACTTCTTCCACAAACTGTGCGTTCTTGTCCATTTTGATGCTACCCCGCTCCAAACGATTGCTAACGATGCCGACTTCGGCAGACACGGCACACTGAACTTGCAGGTTCGGGCCTTTCCATGGCGGTAGCACAATGGTCGTCCGAGTCCCTTGTTTCGAGCGTCCAACCGACCGATGACAGTAAATGTTGAAGTTCGTCTCGTCGTAGTACACAATGAAGTCCCCATTTCGCTGGTATTCGACAAGTGCTGCTGCAAACTCCTTGCGCTTGACCTTGTTTTCGTCGCTGTTGCATGTCGATGGCTTAATGCGCACTTGTTTGACCGTATGCAGTATCCCCAGTAGATGTCGGCTGATCGTCTGCTTGGACAGTTGGGTGCCAGGAAAGCCCAACGCAATGAACTCTTGCATGGCTGTCAAGGTGAACTGGCAGTTGGTGTCCAGCTAGCGCTCGAGTGCAGCGAGTATCTCAGGGGTGACTTTGGTCCGGCTTTGTCTCGCGCCGCCTCTTGGCTTGTTGGCGATCTGGCCGGTCTTGACGATACGTCGGGCCGTCGACAGCGCGATGCCATTGTACTTGGCAACAATCTGCCAATTAGCACCGTCGGAGTATGCTGCGAGGACTCGTTTCTTCTCTTCTGTGGTCGGTGCCGAGCGTTTGCCGTCTGCACTCATGCGTTGCGGGTAAGTTGGAAAATGGCCGTCTGCGTGTATGTGTGTCAAATCAAAGGCGGGTATTTCTCGCGCCTGAAATGACCACTTTGATTGGAACAAAAGCCACATTGAATGGAATAAGTCCACGTTGCATGACTTGCCTAATTTTATATTTTATATTTGAACCACTTTGATTGGAACAAACTGCCAGTTTGATCGGGAAAAGGTGTAGTCATTTTGAATGTTACTTCACTTGATTAATGTAAATAATCTATGAACATATACTAGTACTATGTAATGTACCACTAATGTAGTACATGTACCTATACTTCTCTTACGTGTTAATTAACATGTACTACCGGTAGTACTATTAATAGTACTAGTACTTCGAAGTACAATGTATTGTGATGAGCAAATGTAGGCCAGTCGACGTACTCAAGGTAATTGGCTGTTAATTACTTGGTTTACATCGAATGTGATCCAATCGCAGTTGATCCACCAATTCAACCAACACACAGCTGTGCCGTGGTGAGTAAGTACATTCTTGTGACCTTAAGTGATATCCTTAGACAACTAAGTCGTACCAGGAGCTTCGCTGCGCTTTCTCTTTTGATAGGGTCGACTTGTTTTTGCACCCCGACGTTGACGAATGAGCCGAGCAACCGTCACAACCTTGAGCTGGCCGAAGCGACGTTGGCG